TCTAAACCTACTTCTAAATTCTTAATCCCTTAGGTAATCGAGAAGAAGATTGACATTATGTGTAGCAATTTGAGTGATCACACATTTATAAATTTCTATTCCTAGACAATCTGTAAATATGCGATTCAATTCAAGTCAAAGAATAATTACAATCTCCCAATTAAATGATTCTTTTTATCAATCCATGAATACTTAGAAACAAAGAAGCATTAAGTGTAAAATTGAATGCGTTAGTTGGGTTTCAAAATCTAGATTGGATTCAAGCATTTAGTTCATTACAATGGGTTAGGAATTAAGTTCATCATCTCTCAACCTTAATGAAATTAACAACGCATAGCAGAAATGTAAAGTGAGAAGAAACTGAAATTCAAGATTGAAATTAAATGCATTAATAAAGGAATTAAAGATTACAAGAAAAGTAAAGATGTAGGAATTTGTTTATTCTATGAAAGTAAAAGAGAACAGAAGGATATCACCCTAACTTTCCCAAGAAAAAGAGAGAAAAAGAAGAAGAAAAGTAAAGAACGTAAAAACAAAAAGTAAAAGTTTTTCTACACTTTAAAATTTTTGTTTTATATTTGCTAATCTAATCATGTCCCCATAATCAGGAATGCTTGTGCTCACAAATTTGCCTATAGAATTCCAACTTCCTTCCACAAGATCCACGTGTAATTATTTTCGTAGAACCTTCGAAACCATTTGAATAAAGTTAGTAAATGAACTATTCAATGCAACTTTAAGGAAATAAATCCTTTTATTAATTTCGCTAATTAATTACACGAACTTGAATTGATTATTCAATAGAAATAATCAAAAATCAGTCAACTATGGACTTATCAAGCAGTGAGCTTCTAGCGACGGCATGCAAGGCTGACAAGCGTCTATCGGCGAGCTTGTAGTGACAATATGTAGCTTTATCTTTGCTCTCCAATCTGCTTCGAGGTGTGGTTCTGCTATGTATATAAACATTCAGTTTTTAACCTTTTTATCGATAAAGCATGTTATCAAATCTACTCCAAACATTTGTGCATTTTAGGAACGCTAAACTTAATCTAAATTCTGGAAAAAAAAATTAGTGATTCAAGTTTATTAATTTATTCTATAACAGATGCAATCACAACATTCTAGTATAAGATTTGGTAGTGGTTCTAGGATATCTTTGACTAGCAAATTTGCCACGGGATCAATTGAAGGTGAAAATCCTCTCTGAAGTTTTCTAATTTTACTACAAAGTAAAATGAATAGAAGAGAAAATGCAAGTTGGCATTGCAACTTTTGTCAAAGAACCTACAAGTGTTTTTATTTTAGAGTGAAATCTCATTTATTGAAAGAAATGGGACATGAGATAGCTACTTGTTTACCTATGTCAAATGAATATTTGTAAGAGATAAAGCAACTTGAAAGAAAGGCTTGTAAAAAATCAAAGTTTATGCAAGTTCCTTTGCCCATTGGAACTACAAGTTCAAACCCCCTATAACTAATGTATCTTTTGATGGGAGCAAGAGAAGAAAAGGAATTGAAGGGCCATTGGGAAGGGCATTTAATAATGAGGCAATAAACCATTTATCATGTGAAATAGCCAAAATATTTTATTCTGTGAGTTTGCTATTCAATATTGTAAGAAATTCTCATCTTATTAGTGCATTCACAAATACTGCAAATACTTCTATTTTAGGATTTCTTGCTCCTTCTTATCTTGCTATAAGAACTAGTATGTTGCATAAGAAAAGGCTCATATTCTAAAGTTACTTCAACCTATAAAAGATACTTGGCCAGAAAAGGGTGTAAATATAATAAATGATGGTTGGAATAATGCACAAAGAAGACCATTGATCAACTTTATGGCAGCTTCAGACTTAGGACCCATGTTCTTGAAAGCTATTGATGGTTCAGGTATTCATAAGGACAAATATTACATTGCTAATTTAATTTTGTCTATTATTGATGAATTTGGATCACAAAATATTGTCCAAGTCACTACTGATAATGCTCTTGTTTGCAAGGCAGTTGGATCAATTATTGAATCTATCCATCCTTATATTTTTTGGACACCATTTGTTGTGCACACTTTAAATCTTGCCCTCAAAATTATTTGTGCACCAAAAAATTCACCAACTAATGAAGTTGTTCACGGTGAATGTAATTAGATTTGTAATGTTGTTGGTGATGCTTATTTCATTAGAAATTTTATCATAAATCGTTCTATGAGGCTAGCCATGTATAATCAGTTTATGCATTTGAAGCTACTTACAATTGTTAAGACTAGATTTTTCTGAACCATAATTATGTTTAAAATATTGAGAACTATTAAGCATGATTTCCAATCTATGGTTATTAGTGAAGAATGGTTTCATTGATGTTCAGAATGATGTGATTGTGAAAGGAACAATTTTAAATGATAATTGGTGGGATAAAGTTGATAATGTTCTAAGCTTTATAAAGTCTATTTATAATATGCTTCGTTCTCATAATATTGATAAGCAAAGTCTTCACTTAGTTTTTGAGAAATGAGATTCTATGATTGAGCAAGTGAAGTTAGCAATATATTAACAAGAGGACAAGGAGTAGAATCAACATTCATCTTTCTATGATATAATTTATAACATCTTAATTGATAGAATGACTAAAAGTTACACACCTCTTCATTGTTCGGCTCATTCATTATTCATTAAATCCTCGATAAGATTTAATTAATTTACTCCTTTTATTTTATTTACTTTTTCTTTCAAGTTTCGATTGACTTATTTATATATTTTATAATTTGCATAATAGGTATTATTGTAGACAATGGTTTGAGGAAGCTCCAAATCGAGTTCTACCACGTAAGGATAATGAGGTTTCTATAAGGAGAAATAAGTGCCTAAGAAGTTACTTTCTGGATTCAAAGGAAATGTTAGAGGCAACTACTGAGTTTGTTAAATTTTCAAGTGCTTCTAAAGAGTTTGGTTAATTTGATTCTTTACAAGATAGGTGGAACTTAAAACCAAAGGAATTGTGGGTTACGTATGGAGCTACAATTTTCAATCTTTGGTCTATTACCTTGAAGCTTCTTTCATAACCATGCTCTTCTTCTCATTGTAAAAGAAATTGGAGCACTTATTCCTTTACCCACTCTTTGAAAAGAAATAGGTATAATCCTACAAAAGATGAAGATTTAGTATTTGTACATATAAATCTTCGTCTTCTCTCAAGAAAAAGTGAAAATTATACTAAGAATGAGACTAGAATGTGGGATATTGGTGAAGATGAATGAGATTCACTTGAAAGTGTTAGGATTTGTTGAAGTTGCTAGTCTTTCTCTTGATGAATCAGATCTAGAGGTAATTGTTTTCACGGCTGATGGAGAAGGAAATAATGAGATTGATACTGTTAGAGTTTAATTTTCTTAATTATGTTTTAATATTGTTATGTCATGTTGAACAATTTAATTATTGTAATTTCATACTGTAAGATTTTTTTTTTTTAGACAAATATATGTCTCTTTTATGTTATATAACATATGATATGTTAAAATTTGTGTATTTTTATTTTATATATAATTTTTTATTTTTTTTAATCGATATACTTGTACCCTATTTTTTTAAGAAAATGTCATATCCTATACACATACCCGGTACTATACACGTATCCATGTAATGTAGATCCTTACTAAAGCTTTGGGATGTTTGCAATTTCATTTATTGTTACGCAAGTTTGGTATCACAATTTTCATCTACTAACTCAAGGGGGTAATATCCATGAGATATATGTAATCTCTTATATCAACGTTGAGAAATATCTTGAGATTATTATAGTGAATTTGCTTGGATATAAATGATATGGTCAACATCAATTCACAGCTAATCAAAACAATTCTTTTAGCATGTATTTAAGAGTTTTCTTTTATTGTAGTTTTTATATAATTAGGATTCTTCCATTTATATATGTATATGACTAATTGCTCTAATAGAGAAATTAAATTTTCTCCTATGTCAAACTCCATTAGAGTTCGAGGAGTTTACTCTATTCATGGAATGAGAAGGGACATGAGATGGGAAGAAATTCAATGAGTCAATACTGGTGAAAGATAGAGGAAGAGACATGTGAGAGAAGGGAATAAGAAATAAAGAGTGAGGGAATGTTAGTGGGGAAGAGAGGAAAAGCAGTGGTGAAAGTAGCTAGTTTAATGATGAAGGCAGATATAAACGTTATATATGAAAAATATATGAAAACAACGTTTTAAGATAGATAGAAAAGAAATAACATTGTTTTGATATCATGTTACTTAGCTTAATGGCATCATTTAAAATATTAAATTAAAGTTCATAAAAAAATAAAATATAAAATCAAATACATCTATAAATAAAATAAAATAAATAATCTAAATATAATAATAAATAAAAAGAAAAAATATAAAATTAAACAAATTATACAAACAATATAATAGAATAGGTAATAAAATAAAATAGAAAAAATTAAAGCCTAATTTAGATAAACTTTTAGAAAAAAAAATTATTAAAGAAAAATTAATATAAAAATTAAATAATTTTTTATAAATTAAAAAACTTTTATTTTTTATACTAGAAATTTATCGAACCTAGTTCAACTTTCCTCAAAAGATCTGTGCACACGGAACTAAAAATTTAAGGAACATTCTAAATCTCGCTCTCATACCCAACCAAAAAAATTAAAAATAACTCAATCCTTTTTTAAAAACAAGAAATTATCTTAATAACACAGACCCTGAATCTGAATATTGATAATAAATTCAAATATTTTACATTTTTTGCTGTACCAAAATAAATGGAGAGCAACTTTATAAACAGAAAGAGACTCCAAAGTAAAATTTTTTACACTGTAAATAAATTTAAATTAAATTCTTAAAAATATTTATTTTATTTTTTACAATACCCCTATTTCTAATTCTCGATTTTATGCCTTATTTCATTTAAGAATAAAACTAAAAAGAGCACTATCAATTTTCTCTGACTTTTTTTTACTTTCACTTTTTTTTTTTTACTAGAACATTATAAAAACTAGTAAGAGTGATTTTTTGTGTTTTTTTTTTATATCTTTTGTACAATTTTATATTTTTTTGAAATGATCAATAAAGTTGTAAGAGTGATATTTTTTAGTTTTTTTTTTCTATTTTGTATATTTTGATATTTTTAAATGACCTTAAAAATAGATATACAAATAATTTTTGTTATTTTTTTTTATCTTGAAAAGAAAAGAAATACAATCATTATTTTAACCCTTTTTTTGTTTTATCTGAATATTCCTAATAATAAAAACAACTGTGCAACAAAAAAACTGAACCTCCTTACAACTTTACACAATTCTTTTTTTAATCATAAACGTAGAGTTACTTTTTTAGGCTTTCTTTTTTGGGTTAAAATAGAAACAATTTACTAAAACAAGATATATGAAAAATATATTCTCTGTTTGGAGATGTTTTTATCACGTCATTCTAAAGGTTTCATACTTCTTTTATTATTTTTCAGGGAAAAAAAAACAAGCATCACACTAGAAGGGATTTATTTTGCATACACTCTCTTCCCTTACGCAAATCTCCCACTTTCTCTCCTCAGATGATGAGAACCGGCAGTGTTTCAACCACACAAATCATGATGTGTAAAACGACGTTGTTTCAATTACACTACAATTGCTATTATAAACAATTCTCCTTTTTTTTTTTTAAGGACCTTTCTCTTTCACATTAAGAACTTTAACCTAACACCTTGTACATAAAATAATCAACCACTAAAGTTGCTCTTGGAGCAACATTAGTCTTGTAATGGTTTTCGTATCATTGAACATACATGTAGCAACCTTTGCTTCTCGATCAATATAACATGCATTACTAACGCCTAGTGATTCTCCTTACATTAAGATGCAAAATGAAATGGTCTCAAGTAAATAATCCTCTTTGGTATGACAGAGATTAATCTGATTAAATATGCTATCCAGTATTCTTGTAAACACTATTCACCTATGCCCCTTTAGGAATAGCTTGAAGAAAAGTATATTTCAGGCAAATTAGAATAAAAACAAGTTCATGTTCACAAAGAAGGATGTGATATGTAAACATACATCAACCTTTAATGCAAGTCCTCAAGTTGTATAAAAAAGATAGGATATTAATAGGCATATGTTATGGCATGAGTTAGAATAGTGACAAAGAACAAAACTAATATGATCATAAAGTTCATATAACTCAACACATAGGAGCAAACTAGAAATCCAAATTCTGAATGATGATGTCTCTCTATCTTCCATTCGGTTCAGTGACCCTTGATCTGCACCCTACCTGCTCTAGAAACTTGGTAAGGCGCAAGTGCTTTGCAGCCCATTGTTCAGCTAACTTCTGCTCCTTGCTCTCTGCATCTCTTCTCAACCCTGCTAACTGTTCCCTGTATTCTGCTTCAATTCTATCCAATGCAGCTGTTTGCTCCTCCCTCAAAGCTTTCATCTTTGCTTCAATTTCTTCAATCTTTTCTCTCCTTCGCCCGGCCTTCTCCGACTCCAACTGCAACTCCACCCTGCTTAACCGCCATGCCGCCTCCTTCTTATGCGCCAACAATGCATGGTGCATTTCTTCCAACTCTTTACAGCATTCCACCAGCTCAGACATAACCATGTTTTCACCAAAAGCTAGAACAGCCCCATGAGGAGTCACGTTCCCAAGAACAAGAGGAGCAGCATTCTCCGGTCCTCTCACGGGCTGCAACCATGGAGGAGGCGCTGCCACCGTCGAGGGAGAAAGGCTTAGCGTCACGGATGGAGATGGCGGCCTCACAGGGGCTGTGTTATTAGAATTGGAAAGCCACGACGGAAGCAGAGCCGGCGCAGGGGCCAATGCATCAGCATGCAGAAAAGAACTGTTTGAAGCAGCCATAGCGAATGATGGTGAGGGCCTTTCTTTCACTAGTTTTTCTGCAAAACTCTCTAGTATATGCTCGTATTTGCTATCGTTAATGGGGTCAATAATTCGATTTACCCCCTTTGTTTCTCTTTGTTGCTTCTCTTTGAATACTTCCCACCACTTTCCTAACCTCTTAGCAGTTCGACCAGGCACTTGTGCAGCTATTTTCTTCCACTTGTTACCGTGCTTTGCTTGAAGATTGATCACAAGGCGCTGTTCTTCCTCAGTAAGAGAACCTTTCTTAATTCCAGGCTTGAGGTAGTTCTTCCACCGTTCTAAGCATGACTTAGCATCCCTATTAAGAGGTGTGTTCATGCGCTGAGACACAAGATTCCATTCCCTAGGACCATACTGTTTGACATAAGCGCGTAGTAATGCATCCTCTTCGGCTCTCCACCGTTGCCTATCCTTCATTTCCAAGTGCAAATCCCAGTCAGTTGCTTGAAACTTGAAATCTTCATGATTTCTCTACAAAGTTCATGACCATTTAAGGCATCAATTCACTAGAATTACAGTGAGGAGAAAAGTAATATCAATAGGGGAAAAGGGAACTTTTCTACAATCTCCAATTGTAGGTCCACAAATGAACAAAAATAATCGGGCAATTCACCTGAATTTTGAAATCCAATGTCTTCATACTTTACTCAAGATATGCATATAGCTTAAGATAAATGTAGAAAATATGAGATCATTCACCATGGATATATACTAACCTGCACAAAACTCCTAGCGGGTGAACGCAAGGATCTGCAATAATAATTGAACTTATAAGACTAGGTTACATTTATAGTGTTGCAGCCAGATACATGTTAAAAAAAATGAAGTTCTAAGACACAGCCAAATATATGTCAGAAAGATTTTGTTTGCACATGCTACGAAGTTCGAAAACTAGGATGAAATAAATAATCTCAGGAACAATGGATGCAAAATATTCAGTTAATGAGCGTATAAAGAATAGTATTTCTCAAGGATCAGTACCTTCAACTTCACAATTTTTTTAGACTAATTTCTAGCGGCAATATCTATTCTTTCAATCAGTGAATCTATCAACCCAATATCGTATATTGCATTCACATAGTCAAAAATAGATTCTGGCATGTGTTAGATACAGAATGGGAACACAACAGATCTGAATACCCAGAATTTCTTTAAATTACAGGCATATCAGGACATCATAAGCATTTGCAACCTATAAAAGATCGAAACAGGCAATTCTGAATTAATTTCAAATGCTCTTCTAACATTACAATCAAGAACAATGAATGGGAAAAAACCGCTAGTGTGGTTTTTTAAAAAAATAGCAGAGAATTTCAAGAGTGGTTTATGGTAAATTAAAATTGCAGTTAGATTCACATCCACACACGTAAGAATCAGTTACACGCTTAGATCACCTCATTAACAGAGGAAAAAAACAACGTACTCAGAGTGCCGAACATCAATCGCAGGTGGACACAAAGATATAATGATTGAACTAGAAATCTAGAATACTTAATGGTAATTAAAACAAATAGTAACAGAAAAAGGATGTCCAAAATCAACGAGTAGCTACAAATTCAGAAATTCTATGAAACAATCTGCAGTAACAGCACAAAATCAGTAACATACATCATAATACTGATATCAAATCCAAGCAAAGAACTCACTTACATACAAGCATAAAAAAGCACAGCTGCACTTTTTCACTAGTTCACACGAACCAAATCCTTAAACATAATACAAAAACCCAAATAATATAAAAATAAAAAACAAACCCACTTGACCAAGTTCCCCAACAAAACAACCCATTCGATCAAAAAAAAAAAAAAAATCCCTCCAAAACCCACTTTAGTCAAAACCATAAAAAAAGCAACCTTTTTTCACACAAGATAGCACCCCACGAAGCCCAAATGTTGCAGCGAGACGGTGAAAAGGAGAAAGGAAGAAGAAAAAAACGATGACCTTGGTGAGTATAGTGGCTTGAAAGAAGAGCACAGAAACACACAGAAGTTGAAGTGGTGGGTTGTGCTTTAAGCAGAAAGCAGAGAGGAAGTGAAAACCGAGGTGAGGTGCGGTGCAGTGCAGCACATAACATGACATAGCATAGCATAGGACAGAAGAGAGAGAGAGTAAAGACAGAGAAGTGAAGTGAAATGGACCAGAGAGAGAGGAAAGCGTGATAAGACAAGACATGGAGTGAGACCCACTGTGTGACAGAGAGAGAGAGAGGGTACGTCAGTTTCAGCGCTTAATATGCGAGAAAGAAAGGGCACGCGAATGATAAGGGACACACATCATAACTTCACCAATACCACTACCTATGTGCTCTACACTGTTCTTATACCACTCTTATCTTTTATGCCAAATCATTTTATTTATTCAAATTCACTCTTTTAATCATTCTTTTTATCACTTAAATTAATTATAATTACTTTCTTAACGTATTCCCGTGATTAAAGATACATTTTTTTTAATAAACTTCAAAACCAGACATCAAAATTTATTTTTTACAATGACAAAATTATATTTTAATCTATCTCAATAGAAAATTATACAAAAAGGTTATATCATTTAATAAATTTTTATTAAGAATTAATTTAAAAATTAATTATTTAATTAAAAATTCTTATTATATAAACTATATTTATAAAATTTTATATCAGTCTAAAATTATTTAATATTTTATTAATACACGTCAAAATTAACATAATATATTTTTCAAAATTTTTTACTATATTATTATAGTTATTTAATTTTAATAAGATTTCACACAAATAATAAAAATAATATATTTATAATTTAAAATTTAATTAAATAAAAATTATATTTTATATTAAATTATTAATAATATAATTTATATCGATCTAATTTAATCACTTCTAATTAATATAATAAATATGGTAAATATTAATTTATATAAAATTTAAAAAAGTTATATATAACAGTAAAATAAATATAAAAATTTTTCTTCATTGATACTTTTAGTAGAAAAAAAAACATATAACTTACCTAAAATTATTTTTGTTATTTTAAATTAAGATCTTAAACTTTTAAAATTTATATTTAAAGTAAATAAAATGGTCTATTTTAATAATGGAAAAAATAATTGGAATAAAATAAAAATTCTGGTTATTTATATATATTAAAGGTACGGAATTTAGGATGATTATGTATTTTTTATTTGTGTTGTTAATGCTTTGTTTAAACGTGTAGAAAAATAAATAAAATAAAATAAAATAAGAATGAAAAATATTTTTATTTAAGTAAAAATTAAATAATAAATCATGTTTATTACAAAAATATAAATATTAATAATATCAAATATTTTATTTATTTTAATACGATATATAAATAAACAAATAAATAGATTTAATCTCTCCAATTTTCTTCTCATGTTAAAAAGAAATTTTATATGCAAAATTTAAAAATGTTCTTTTCTTTCTAAATTTTTTCTCTTATCTAAATAAAAAAATGTCTTAGTTGCTTTAATCTTTTTCCAACCATTATATATTCCAACTAACAGAAAAAATCATTAATAAAAATAAAAATAAAAAGATGAAGAATCAAGCTAAACAAACTAAATTAAAAATTTAAATAGATAAACTAAAAAATTATAATTTAACTTAAAAATACTTCTTAATTATAAATATGTAAATGAATTTGTTTTTTAATTTAATCTCAAAATTTTAAAATTTATCACATTAATTTTTAAAAAATATTATCAAAATAATGGTACATTATTTATTATATTTTATATGTACCTCTCGTAAAAAATAATCTTACTTAATATAAATTCAATATAAACTAAGAGAAAATTATGTTGAAGACGAAAAGATAGTGAATTATTAAAAATAGTTTCCTATCTTTTATTTTACATATGTAAAGTCAAATTTTAAAATATTAAGCCTTTCTAATATACATTATTTTTCCACTGAATAATTGCAAATTCATAAATAATAATTTTAATCTGTAAATACTGTTTAACATTTTCCCATAATAAAGATGACAGAAAAAAAGAGCCTGCACACAGTGGTTTTTGCTTACGTCTTATAGGGAATTTGCTAACGTAAGCGTGTTACTGTGCTTTTCAAAATAACGGCTATTCAGTGATGCTTTCCCATATATTCAGTGATGCTTAAACATATAACTAACTGTGATAAATATTAGTAAAAAATATTATTCATAAATAATTTTATTTAACTTAAATAAAATGAGTTATAAAAAAATGCATATAATTTAAAAAAAAAACGCATTGCAAAGATTAAACTCTCGCACTAATACACAATTTATATATTCCAACTTAACTAATTAAATCGATACGAAGGAACTAAAACTTTAATGTGAAATTAAGTCATATTTAATGGAATAGTTTCGTCATTTGAAACTTAAATATAAAAAGGGGATCAGATATAATATAATATAAAATATTTAAATTTGATAAAATAAATGAATTCGCCTATTTTTGCAGTAGAGACATTCCATCGTAAAATGTAATCGATAAAAAGGAGTAAAATTTTTGTATAAGAGAAAGAAAAGACAAAACAGGAGGAAACTAGATGAACAAAGTAAATTCATTTATGAAATGTGTGTGGAAACGAACATGTTCATGGGACGTACATGAAGGGAACACATGTTCATGGGAGAATTAACTAATAACTCTGTCAATTGCCATCCAACAATTAAATTTCCCCAAAACGTGAAAAAGAAAAAAAAAATTACTTCTAGTGGCCAAATGGAGACCCCACCCACTTAATTGCACAAAGTTCATCTAACAGCCATCTCCCGTTCACCGTACGCATGGAAAAAAATATTACCAACATATTTTTTAATAAATTATTTTTATATTTTTAATTATTAATTAATTTTATTAAAAAATTTAAAAATATTATTTTTTAAAAAATAAGATTATATTTTTTATAATTTTATTAAATTTTAATTAATAATTAAAAGTAAGATAATAACCCTTATTACACAAAGAGGCTAAACTATTATTCTTTTCAAAAATAGGCTATTTTTGAGAGAATATTTATTTAACAATTAATAAAAAGTGTTCTTCAAAATCTTTTGCTTTTATAATCGTAAATTTTAATGGAGCATAAAACTCTTAGTATAGAATTTTAATTTATGTAAATAATAGGTTTGTTTCATTTAACTTTTTAAGATTTATTTAATCAAATTTTTAGTTAAATATTTTTTAAATTTTTATTTTTTGATATTTTTATATTTTTATGCTTCATCATTTTTCATAAAATAATTTATACGTGTTAATTTTATATTTATTAAAATTTAACTAATGTATTTTTTATTATTAAAAAATAACTCATCTAAGAAGTCATAGATTTTATATTAGTTCAAACTTAAACCAAGGTATAAAAATATTTTTTATATTGGTTCAGTTTGAACAGGTATAAAAATATTAGTTATTTTAGTAATTAATTTTAAAAAGTTTCTATTATTTTTAAAAATGTCATTACACTTTTTTTTAGATTAATTAATTATTCATTGATGTAAAAAGTTGATGTGAAAAATCTTTTTTGTACTAGTGACTTCTCTTATAAGGCATTAAGAGTGAAAGAAATTAGTAAGAAGATAAGTGTTAAACATGATATTTTATTGAATATAAATCATGAGAACAACCAATAATTTTATATTATTATAAAGTATTTATTATGTAAATTTAGTAAATTTTTAATCATTTATTTTAATTTAAATTAAGTTAAATTTATAAAGTAATTTGCATTAAATATTCTTAATTTTATCATTTTAAACTTATTTTATTTTAACTATAGAAGTAGAAATATTTCTAGTATTATATGTTCTCGAAAATGTGTTATCAACGTCAAAAGATCAGAACGGTGTAACATGCAAAGTATGATAATGCTCAAACTTGCATTATTAACACCAAAATATTTGTAGAAGTTATAAATAACACGAATATTTTATATCAAGACATCTTTTTACAATTAGCAGTTTCATCTTCAAAAATCATCTTTCTCCTTGTGAACCTTGAGTTTAAGAACTTGCATATTTGAAAAATCATGTACCTAGTTCATTAATTTTCATGGAGTCACTCTTCATTTTTTCTTTTATGAGATTTTTCTTTGTGTTGTTATATGTAACTAATCTTTGTAGTTATTGAGTTACAAGTTTAAGTAATTTATTTATCTAAAATGCATTTGACAACTTAAAATTTGAGATCTTTTTACTTATATATTATTTGATTTGTTGTTAACCCACTAATATAATGTTGGAAATTGTATGGATAATAATGACAACAAAAAATGATGATTCACAAATGTTCACGTGAAAATTATCTTAGGAAAGATAGGTTGTATAATAAAAATTAATAAAGAGAAATTTACAATCTCTCAAGTATTGAGTTTTTTGTTTTTGTCTATTTTATTATCGAATGAGTTGGACTAGAACAGGGTTATCAGTTGAAGCATTTGTAGTCTAGTATTGATAATGATCATTGGCAATGTACTAAAAAGAATCAATAGTAGTTGTATTAGGTGATATGGTGAATATTCTAAAGAGTCAAGAGGTATGGCTTTGTAGCAGGGTTAAGGAAGTGAAGAGTCATCCAAATCAAAAGAAGCAACATTCTTAAAAGGAAAGGTATTAACTTAGAAAAAACAACATTTTGATAAATAAATATATTACTAAATTGAAGATAGTACAATAAATAACTTTTTGTTTCCTTCCTTATATAACACTTTTCTAGCTTTGTGAGAAAGCTTATGTATAACTCCTCCTAAGGTACTAGCATAAACAAGGCATTTAAAAACTTTTTAAAGGAGTGCACATAGACTTTTGTAATTTAATGAAGATGTTGGTAATTTATTGATTATATTAATAGAATGTTTACCATCAAAGGCCATAATTGTTTAGGTAAATGTGATGTAAAAAATTAAACTCTTATAATACTCATGATATGGTGATATTTTCTTTCAACTACATCATTCTATTAAGGTTTTTCTACACAAGTACTTTGATGACAAAATTCTTTTTAAAGTAAAATTCTTTCATAAGAAATTTGAGACTATTATTACTCTTTATTATTTTTATTTTGACATAAAATTATGTTTCAAAAAATATTACAAAATATTGCAAATTTTCCTTGATTTCTTT